CTAGCCTCTCCAATGCTAATGCCAGCTTAGCCATGCTAGTTGCTAGCCTCTCCAATGCAAACTCCAGCTTATTCATGCTAGTCGCTAGCCTCTCCTATGCTAACGCCAGCTTATCCATGTTAGTTGCTAGTCTCTCTGATGCTAACACCAGCTTATCTGTACTAGTTACAAGCCTCTGCAATGCTAACGCCAGCTTATCCATGCTAGTCTCTCTGATGCTAACGCCAGCTTATCCTTGCTATTTACTAGCCTCGCCAATGCTAACACCAGCTTATCCATGCTAGTCTCTCTGATGCTAACGCCAGCTTATCCATGCTAGCCTCTCCTATGCTAACGCCAGCTTATCCATGCTAGTCTCTCTGATGCTAACGCCAGCTTATCCATGCTAGTCGCTAGCCTCTACGATGATTGCACAGATGAATAGTCTCCTTCTCATTTGCCAGTCTTAATTTTGGCCATCATACTACGCCATAGTTTCTTATTTCTACCACTTTTTTTATCAGCCTTCTGTTGCTTCTGTCCCAACTTTTGTTAGATATGTTTCCTCTTTAAAATTCTAATTTACCATTTTTTAGTTTTTTTTTTTTACCAAAAGTTTATTTAAATTTCAACATCTAAACTTGGTCAGAACTTGACATTTTGTCCAGTTGTTTTTCTTTTCTTTCTCCAGATTTCTCATTTCTGTCTTTTTTTTTTGCTCTACCTGCATTCTCCTTTAATGATTTTTTTCTTTCTACTCATCTCTTCATTTTTATTTTCTCATCTCCTTTCACCTCCCTTTGTGCCTGCAGTCACGCAGTAGGTGTCCGTGTGTCATTGCACTGTTTGTGCCTGAAAACAACAGCTGAATAAGCACACACTCACACACAGGGATAATACACAAGTCACACAGCTGCACAGTCAACAGCAAAGACCTGCTATTGTTGAAGAGCGTTTAACTGCCAAGAACAAATTAAAGATTTTTTWAAATTATTATTTAGGAAACACAAACACATAGAGAATTTGAAACCTWACTGTTGTTGCTTCGTGTTTTGTGCCCAAACCAGTTTCCGGTGACAAGTTGTGTTTCTATTGGTCCATGTCTCACGTTTAACTGCAGTATCAGATTACAGAACAGAAAGTGTTTGTGTAGTTTGTGTATGTTCTCTGCGCAGTTTCTGTTAACACATCAGTTTTCGTTTTGTAGGGGGAAAGTTCCTTGCGATAGTGATAAGTGAAAGTATTACTGCTTGATGCAACATTTTACCACTAATGATACAAAACTACGGGATAAATCTTGTGCCAGCAGGAATTGAATTTGAAATGCTCATTTTGAATCTGAATGTGCATAATTTCAAATTGAATGCATTGGTTTGAAAATGAATTTTACTAAACTGAAATTTAATTTAATGATTTGAAACTGAATTTAAAGTTTTGAATTTGAATTAGTTTGCTTTGAAACTGTATTTTGGTTTATTAAAAATTCACTTTCAGTTCCATAATTCAGATTTTTGTGTCACATCCTGGTCCTTGAGAAAGCCAGGCAGAGTAATCAAACACAGATCCACAGATTTATATGTGATCCATGATGTCATCATGTAAATGTAACAT